CAGGAACGTCCTAGACCGTTTCCTCTCCACTGTAAGGTATTTCCAGTAGATACCTGGTAAGTTGAAATCCCCAATGACAACAAGGGTTAGTAATCATGAGACTTCTCCCAGTTGCTTATACAATATTTCATCTGCCTCTTAATCCTGGTTGGGTAGTCTCCAACAGACGCACACCACGGTACCTGCCTTTTTGGCCTTTTCTCTGATTCTTACCCATAAACACTCAACCCTTTCATCATCATCATCAAGCTCTAGACAGTCAAAACATTTTCAGTTGGGCTATTGATCCCACCACCTTTTTTGGGGGAGAAGTCCTAATTCATATGTGACTGTTCTCAGTGCTTCCATGGTTTCTAACACATCAATAACCCTTGTGTGTTTGCTGCGGTATGGATCTCCGTTCCCTACCCCACTGAGATGGCTAAGGTGCTGCACACATTAGTATAGAGACATTTCAAATGTGCTCCAATGTACTCAGCACATCATGGAGCAGACTGAAGGACCTCATTAGCACACTGTCCCTCAAACATTGGCATGCCACCCCATGGCTTACCACTATTGAGCCTGGTTTTATCCTTTTCCCCCTTCAAATCTAACTTAGGGCTCTTTCCATTAGTACTGCTAACTCTTGTGCAAAGATCCTTTCCCTGCTTTGAGAAAAGTGTACCCCACCTGTCACCAGGAGGCCTGGTGTCACATAGGCCAACCTGTGATGAAAAACCTTAAAATTCTGCCAGTGACACCATTCATGAGGCCAGATATTGATCAGCTGGGTCTTCCTGTTTCTTGCAACATCATTCCCTGCAACTGGATGGATAGAGGAAGAAACCATTCGTGCTTCTGATCCCTTAACCAGTCATCCCAAGACCCTGAAGTCTTTTGATAACCCTTGTACTTTTCATTGCAACTTCATCGCTGCCTACATGATAAAGCAATAATGATTAATAATACAAGGGCTGTACCAGGGTAGGACATTTTCTTTTCCTATCTTTAACCCACCCTAGCCCTCCCACAACAGCAAGACACAAATACAACTCCTGTATTTAGAAATGCAATTTCAGGTATTCAAGTCTTCTAAGTCTACTTCAGGCAAAATTCCTCAGGAAAAAGTTCAGACAAAACCCACGTAAGAATTAGACTTCATCCAGATGTTAAAAACCACAGATTAGATGTACTACATGCAAGAAAGTGACACCACTTACTGAACAGGCAGTGACTCCAGAAAAATCTGAAGGTTGTTGATTGTTCTTTTGTTTTGTGTTTGGGTTTTGTTTTGGTTTTTTGTTTGTTTGTTTTTAAGATTGGACAGAAGTTTCCTGTCCTGCTATGGGCAGATTTTGATCTTGTTTAGTTTTACTCATAATTTTACTGTAATAGTCCCCAAGTCCATTTTCCTTGCCAGACATTTGTCATGACTGGGTTGTACTTTCAGGCAAGGGCTTGCATCACAAGACAACCATGCAGAACCTAGCTCAACACTGCTGAAAACCCATGGTACCACTAAAATTCACAGAGCCACTCTCTGCTCCCCAATTACTACTCCAAGCACAGATGGACGCAATACACGTCTTGGGAAGGTTACAGTCAACATTCAGGTACATAACAAGGAAAGCTAGTTAGAGAGGCAGGGGACATTGATTATAAACAAATGCCTAACAAACTGCCATAGCCTGTCCTACAAAACCACCTCTAGTAAGGTCTGGCTGTCCTGAACACCAGGAAAAAGCATTGTTTATCTTCATACCACTGAAGGTCAGTAAGTTTGCAGACAACACCAAGCTGAGTGGGGAAGTTGATCTGCTTGAGGGTAGAAAGGCTCTACAGCGGGATCTGGGCAAACTGGATTGATAGGCCAAAGCAAATTGTTAACAAGGCCAAGTGCCAAGTCTTGCACTTGGGTCACAACAACCCCATGCAGCACTAGAGGCTTGGGGAAAAGTGGCTGGAAAGCTGCCTGGTGGCAAAGGACCTGGGCGTGTTGGTTGACAGCTGGCTGAATATGAGCCAGCAGTGTGCCCAGGTGGCCAAGAAGGCCAACAGCATCCTGGCTTGTATCGGAGATAGTGTGGCCAGCAGGACTAGGGAAGTGATTGTCCCCCTGTACTCAGCACCGGTGAGGCCGCACCTCGAGTCTCCTCACCTCAGGAGATCCCAAACAGCTCCCAAGACAGGGGAGCTCTTTATCTATACCTGGAGAAAATCAGACATGAAGATGCCAGTGACCCACCCAAAACTCATACAGGAGGTCTGTCAGAAAGAAAAGAGAGACGGAACTTAGTTTCCCAGCTACTTGGTGATTATTCTTCATTCTCCAACTGAAAGGCCCTAGGATCCTATGCCAAGGGGCATAAGCACTTAAGACAATCTCAAAAAGACTGGAGTTTCAGGTTTCAGCTACACCACAGAACATACAAAGCTTTGTTCACTGTGAAGAAACAGATGTTGTTACTATGGGCATCGCAAATATGCAAGACACCTGCAAATAAATTGCCAAAAACATTTTGTGAATAAATACACAACTCCTACAAGAAGATGTACTCTTCTAATTAAGGAATTAAAGGAGGAGTTTTCCTGCTTTTCATACTTCCCTGCCAGATGCCCAGTATGGGGGGGGAGGGGGACAGGGAAATATACTTTTTGAAAAAAGAATGTGAAAAATAAAATCTCCTCCTGACATTCTTTTATCCTTTATGAACTTACTGGATAGCCTTCAGACTGTTGGGGTTACTCAGTCCTCACAGGTTTTGGAGAGAGCAGACAACTTACTTTCACACATGATGCTCCCTTCATTGCTGATTTCCTTAAAGCTTGGTACACCAGAAAGCCATGATAAATCTGAAGGTAGTAACTACCTACAAGACCAAGTGATGGTATGCCCCTTCCAAAAGCATGCTGCATATGGGATGAAGATTAAATATTCTGTTTCTACAGCATCTTAAATCACTTCCCCTAAAAAAGTGAATTCAGGAGAAACTAAGTTTTCTAGTCTTTGCTTTCATTAGGCTGGCTTTAGAATAGATTAAGTAGGCTAGTTAGAAATTTAGTATTTGCTTTGGCTTCTGCACAATTTAAGTTCAGCATAAACCTTTGCTATTATTTCCCATTAAACATCTGTCTTGAACATCTGCAGTGAAAAAGCAGCCAGACTAGCAATGGACAATGTTCTGGAAACTTTTCTTATGAAGGAAAGACGACCTATTTTCATGCTCTCAGCTAGGGAAAAAACACTATGTAGATAAAAGTCACTGAACTTCTCCTGGTATCTCTTTAAAGGTGCCTTAAGTAACCCCGTGGCCAAAATGAGGAAAGTATGCCCAGCAGCAAATAGTCCACCACCACAACCAAAATGGAATGCTTGCAGAGAAAAAATGCTAGAGGAATGAAATTAGCAGTGGCAGTGTGGTTTATCAAGCCTTTTCTGTACCTTTTATAGCAGCCTGCTCCATAAAGAAATAAAGGAGTCAAGAGGATGCATTAGAGATAGTAAAACTTATGTTGTTAAAGTTACTTGTACATTCAAATAACCTTCATTTCCTACAAACAAGAGTGCTGATAAGTTTGATTACCTACCAAAAAAAAAAAAACGCGAAGACTGTACAACATGTAACAGATATTAACATTAGAAACATTTCTAATATCCTAAACCATACATCTTATTTAATTGCTTCTGCACACTTAGCTGTAGTTATGCAACAGCAGGGATGTTAAACCACTATTATAAAAGAGAAAAATTTATTATCACTTTTCCCAAAATGAAAAGTCAAAGAAAAACACAAAAACATTGAGAATAAAGATAGAAGGTAAGCCCTTTAAACACGTACTTTCCCTCACTATGTACAGACATTTATCTCCTGAAGTTCTCTTCTTGGCTATCTGTTTGAGAAGCCATATTCCAGCATAATACATAATTCCATGCTACCATAGTCAATCATTTTCAGAATGTGGCTAAAGGGTAAGATAAGATCACCTATCTACTACCATCACACCCTAGCCACTCACACAATTCATACACAAGAAGACTCTCAACTTTTTCTTCCAGTACTACCAGAACAAGGAAATAAAGAACATTTTGCAAGACTTTAGCAAAACTAAGGATAAAAACTTACTGCAGATTATGAAATATAGCTTTTGCTTGTCTGTAAGAGTCTTTTAAAAAAGCCGCTGGAGCAGATTTCAAGGGACTCAAGTCTTTTTTGCAAAGCTTACCAGGTTAGCCTCATTCCCTCATTTTATACTCCTTCAGAACTCATTCATGATACAGAGTATTCTTGGAACAGGCACAAGTTAAGAAAAAGTGATTTTGAATTTCAGTGACCTATCAGTCCAACCTCTGGCTTCTGGGAAATGCAAAAATTTGCCTCAATCATACAAGCGTTGACATTAGTCAGTACCTCAGAATCCAGCATGAATGCAATAGCAAGACTGATTTTCACTTATTAATATTACTGCACAGACTCCATGGAAGATGTGCAGGCTCTAACCTACTGTGACCAGCACTCTCTGCTCCTGCCCCCAGTACTAAAAAAACCCCTACTTCCAAGTTTAATAAAACTGTGAAAATTCTCCAGTATTGATGGTCTTGAAACTGTGCACACATAACCTGACAAACCCTGGCAATACAAGAGCTACCCTAGCACAGTTTTAAAAGACCATTTCACTCCAAAAAGGGAACAAGGTATGTGACAGCATCAGTTTCAAATGTATGTTCAAGTAATTTCCTTTACTGATAGAAAGATGTCCCCAAAAATTCAGAGCATTTTTCATCCCTGGCTTTGGAGGTAAACCTAAGGACAACTCAGCCAGGCTCATGCTTTATACTTCTTTTATTTTCTTTCTAAAGACACACCTGCTATCTTCCTTCAGCAGAAACAAATACTTAAGCAAATGGCATAAGCTATCAATGCTAGCACATGTATTCCCTCTCTACCCACCTCAAGTGGCTTACTGCTGTACTTCTTAACTGTTAACGGCTAAGTGACTTATTCTACTGCCTTGGCCTTTTACTTCTGTATACATGCAAAGTGCTTAAGAACAATCCATACCTTATTTGTAGCAGTAGCGCTGGATCCTGGGACCACAGGCACATTGGTCACTTGCACTGATAAGTAGTTATTATCTATGAGGGGCCAAGCACCTTCCACTTTGCATGTCTGGAAGCGATCCTTAAAAGTCCTCAGATGAGGATCACCAAACAAGCCACAAAATAGATATGTAGGAGGAGGAGTCTTCTCCCCTCTGTGATGCTCCCTGGGTTCTGTGTGACCACTGTAATTGCAAGGATCATGGGTCAATTCAGGGTTGGTGGAGGATGTGGGTCCATCTTTGGAACAGTTTCTCTGGCTCATGAGGTCACTGATCCCAAGCACTGCCGAATGGTAGACTAGGTTTCCACGGCATACTTTGGAATTGCGATAGGTACAGGCAGAGTATGCTCGCAGTGCCTTGCAGAACTCCAAATCAAAGCCCTCAAGAGCAGAGTTGAGATGTGAAGTTAAGGATACAAAATCTGTCGTGCACTTCTGGATTCGACACGGTGTTTGCAGCTGGCAGTCACCTAAGCACAAAACATAAGGCAGAGAGAAATCAAGTAAACCTCTCAGATTGTAATACTGCATTCCACACCTACAGGTACTGCAGAAAATGTGAGACAACTAATAGTGCTCACCCATTAGGGAAACACTATATAATAGAGCAAAAGGGGTTAGGAAGCAGAAAGATAGCACTAGAGACCATCTCAAAGGGTGAGATGACCCATGCATGACTTAATCCATTACTTGATATTGTCTACATGGAAATTAAGAGCACTAACTCCTGCCAAGCATGAGCCCAGCATTTCTTTCCAGATATCAAGGTGATGATGTAATTCCGTGCCTAAGTTAATCACTTAGTCAATAAGCAAGTCTCCATTTAGTCTTTCAGTAATTTACACAAGTTACTGAACTTTTAAACAGAATCCTGCCCCTCAGAAGGATGTGGTAAAGGCAGCAAGTGACACATGTTTAGGCAAAAGCAGACTGAACGAAGCAGAAATCAAAGTTTCTCTTCTAGAAAGCAGAGTGGGGGGAAGAAGGGTAGGGAAGTGGGCAGCCCATAAGTTCTGTGTGCTTGATTTCCCTGGCACTGCCACAGCTAAAGCTTCACTGCTTGCTCTCTGGGACTAACAAGTGAGAAAACCCACAGCTGTCTGAAGTGCAAGTTGCCAGCTAAGAAATCCATACACTGCAATAGCAGTACCTCTTACAGTGTAATTCAATTATACGACAAGGGGAAAAGAAACCCTCTCCCTATGAAAACCTGAAGTACTTATCAGATATATGCAAAAGGTACACAGTTCAGTTTACATGAACACACCAGTTAGACCATATGTGGTCACCTGATTTATGCAAAGAAAGCATTATTACCAGCCCAGCAAGCAAACCGGAGTTTTACAGCCCTCTCCTCCACAGCTTTCACTATCACGATCTAAAATCCTTTTAGATTCTCATGGCAGTTCACAACTGTCTTCTGCAGGTAACTTTTACACCAGAACTTATGAGGAGTAGAAATGAAATGAACAAAACTGCACGCTGCACTAAAGGAAACAGACACACACATTCCACAGGGTTTAAAACTAGGACGACCCCAGTGAAAGGAGACAGTGGGTTCCCTCTCATCCAAAGAGATGAAAACAGCCTTCATAAAGAATATGTGCAAGACTTCATGCAATAGCTGTCCAAGCACCCAAAACTATCTACTAAAAACATGCTGTGCTTATTCGTTCGTTTTATGACCTATAAAATTCAGCTGTGCATACATTAATCTGTAATTTCAAACTATCATAAAGCAGTTTTGAACACCACAAAAATACTTACAAAGCTACATAGAAGTGAAAAAAAGGAAAATACAATATACCTAGCAGATACCGTTCTCCCTTCCCTCAAACCTCTCTTTACAGTATTTCCCACTTGTTTTGTGTCCTCAAAGTAAAATAGGCATGGGTCTATTCTGATTTTGACAGCCTAATAAAAATGTTCCTAAACTCCTGAGACATGAGGAACAGAAAATGGACTGAATAGTAATGTAGCACTTCTCATTTTTAAACATAGTTGTTTTCTGCAATTCACAGTGATGAAAGAATATTGGCAATTTATTTGCTTGCTGCTTAGGTGACCCTCCTGTGAGTCAGTACTCACATGACCTACTCTGAATATCGAAACCATGAATTTATAAGGGAAACATGGTTTGCCAGTGATGGGTAACTAATACAAATCTGTCAAGATCTCAAGACAACACAGCACAGAAGGAGAAAGTCTCTAATACACAGCCAAGCATAACCATGAATTGTATGAGTAAGCTGTAAGTTTCTCACTTGATCTTTGTGCAAGTGGTACGTAGCTTTGCAAAAGAACAGACACCCCCCCCCAAACTTATCAAATTCTGTGCTTTCAGATATACAAACAGAGAAGACCTATGCCAAGCAAAACGACACAGAAAACGTTGGTTCAGAGCCTTACTTTCAAAGCATCAAAACTTCTCCTGTATTTCCCTTCAGTTATGATTTGAGATAATATTTTAATCACATACCAATTAGTCTAGCTGAGCAAGTCAAGTTATCAAATAGCCTAATAAATCTGTCCCTCCACACTCCTTGCAACTTTAGGAAATTTGCTTGCTGCTCTTAGTTGATCCTTGGTACAGAGACGGGTGAATGAACAGCGATTTAACTAAAATTGGATGACCTCTCCCTGGAATTCATTTCACTAGAACTATAAATATATAAAAGCATTCAAGTTAGAAAGAAGCGTTTTCACAAAACTACAACTGCCCAGATCACTTCTGAGATGAAAACACAGACTGCTTTAGCAGGCATCTGCAATGTGCTGTGTACCATCCGCTTTCTCCCCAGTTTCCAATTGGCCAAGCAAGCTCAACCTGAAGCAAAACCAGCAGTTCCCCGCGTCACCAGGCAGGCCGCCGCATAGCTCAGCGCTGCCCGGCTTCCCTCGCATCACTTCCAGGGCTGCATCAGCCTTCCCACCCGCCGGGTGGGCGGGAGAATGCGCTCAGACACTGCTCGCAACGGGGCACCAGCCCGCGCCGCTCGGATGCGTAACACTCTCCCCTCGTCCCGGTCCCGCC